AAAAAGGAAATCTGCGCCGCACCGAGGTTTTCTATTATCTGTCATATGACAGTGTCTGGATTGGAAACAGCAAGTTGGCGCCCCCTGCAGCTGCAGGCGCTCCTGCTGACTGAGAACGTTCACGTGCACCGTGTGTATATGAAGAACAGGAAGGGGAGGGGTGCGGCGGGGGAATTCACCTCTGCGTCTTTCCCAAATGAAATGAGCGTGCAGGGGCTGAATCAACTGTATTAACATGGCTAAAGTCAATCACATCTTAACGTTCTTCCATATTTCATTCATAATATCATAAACACAGGCCTATCATTCTTTCAGGTTTCTCTGAATTGTGTGAAATGGCCGAATAAAAAAAGGAAAAACAAAACGATTTTGTGGTCACCCCCCTATCAAGGTCAAATTGTTTAGTCCTGACTAAAGGAAACTTATTGAGTTAAGAGCCAAACAGAAGAGATGAACATAAAAAAGCTAAAACCAACAGGTGCCCGATTCAGGGGGAAAAAAAGAAAAAAGAGCAGAAAGATAAAGGTATGTAGCTCTCATGATGCATGTTTTCAATTTTTTGAACCAGTTAACTGGGATTTTAACGGTTAAATGCGGTCAACTAATTGCTAACAGAGCTAATAGGGCTGAAATATTTAAACGAATATTCAAATGGTTTGAAAAAAGTCCTTGAATCGTTTTTTACTGATTCAAACTAGGATTTGTTAAATGCTCGCTGCAGCCTGTGGCCTGCCTGAACAACAACAAACACATGTTGATCATGTTCACATAATAATAAATAAAACAACTCTACAAGCAGAAGAAAACACCCCAGTCACCACTAACTATCCTGTTTATTTATTGCAGATGGCTGCACTGATTATTTTTTACATGATTTGCTCTGTAAAAGTTGGCATTTTTGGTAGTCTACAGTTTTTTATGTCAGTTTAAATTACAATTTCAGAGGCAATTGTAAAATATTATGGATCATGAGATCTTTTGGAGATCTACCCCAACTTTTGGACTGCTCTGCCAGTCACTGTGGCTCAAGCTGAGAGGAGCTTTTCAAAACTTGATCAAGTCATACCTGAGGTCAACTATGTTTCAGGGGCGGCTCACTAACCTGGCTCTGATTAGTACCAATCACTCAGTAGGGGAGCAGATTTCATATGATGACATTATTGATGACTTTGCATCAAGGTTAGGTTTTAATTTTAGTTTGTGTTTTCTGTTCTAAGTGCAGTGCTGTAGTGATTATCTTTAGTTTGTTATGTGTGAAATATTTTTGCTATTTAGAATATTTATTATCTATTATGTTCATATATTCTTAATATTTAGTTATTGTTTGTTTTTGTATAATTGATTCTATATATTTTGATACAGTATATAATGTATAGTGCTTTACATTCTGACAACTTCATAGTAATTAATGTAAATATGTGCAACTTAGAAAAATGAATGTTCAATAGTCGTTCTAATAAAACATGCCTGTTTGTAGAAAACATGCGTGTGTTCATGCAGGTGGGGTGGTGTGGTGGTGGTGGTGGGGGGGGGGCAGTTGGGGGGGGGGGGGGCGCTCAAAGGGGGCCTCGCCCGGGGAGTAATTCGATGTAGAACCGCCACTGGTCGCGCCAAGAAGGGTAGAGCTGCAGACCCACAGACCGCCGAGCAGATTCACGCCTGCAGCAGCAAATCTGTGGGTCTTCGAGTCTGCAGCTTGATCACATCTTCCTCATTCCTCACTGGCTGCGATGTGCTTGGATGTAAAAATCTGCTCCTTTAGCTCCTGATCAGCTGACAGCTTCAACACACCGTGCTGCCAAATTACTGTAAGGCACACACTTTCTTATCAGTAACAGCTTTAGTAACCTTGCTGTCTTAAATGCTGTTATTCCCATCACTGGTTAAAAGCAACACACGTCTACCACTGGCTCCTTTTGCCTGGCAATGTTGATGTTTTACCTCCACAAAAAACTCAAGCCTGGAGGAGTTCTGCCATGTTGTGGAGTTGCTAATGCTAACGGCTAGCTTCTAATAGCCAAGACATGCTCTGCTCTCTGCTGGACGCTAAATCAACAACAGCCTTCCCTGGTCAAGAGCCAAGATGGGTGAATTCCCGAATGCTAATTTTTAGTGTGACGTAGATCTGTTGAGCTTTTCTAATCCAAGTGTTTCTGTGATTTTCAGAGATCCTCAGTGCATCTTGTTTTGCTTGTACGTAGCTAACAGATAAAAGGTCGGCATGTGGGATGCAGATCCATGAATATGTAGATGCCACATTGGGTGCTGGAAAGTGCAACTACGTTGTCGCCATGTTGGGTGGGTCTCCTCGATTTCCAAACCCAAGTGGAGTCAATGCAGGGTGAGCAACGATGCCCATTTTCGACAGCATGCAGTTGCAACAACCGGCATACTATTGAAAACATATCAATTGGGACTTTTCTTGGAATTTTCTAGCCTACATGTTTGGATTTTACATTTAATTTTATTTTTTTGTTTATTTTATGCAATTATATTTCTATTTTAACTTTAATACCATACTATAAGTCTGATTTTGCAAAACAGCATGATAAAATGTGTTTTTTAGTTGGATAAGCACCTTCCTCAGTAGAAATAAATAAATTAGGGGTGAATAAAGACCCATCAAAGATGGCGGCCGGCCATTACGGCAGCTCCAGTAGGCAGCAACAATCCACAGGGCATCTGTGTACATGATGTGTGCAGATCTGCTTCTTTATAACATTTGCTGGATTTTTTCATCATTTGTTAATACCCACTAGAAACTCTTGCCACTCTCTGCAATCTGTCTGCCTGCATCAGCTGGTAGTAAAATAGAGAAGTCAGGAGAAAAGAAAATGTTTAAATATTTTTCTACTTTTGCTCCTGGCCGCCATCTGTGTTCTGTTATTCATTTTGTTTTTGATCCTGCCACATTTTTACAAGCGGCAATTAGACTTTTGCAAGTTGAATCATCTGCATCTGCGTCATAGTCATGGTTAATCCCCACAGCAGATATAAAACAGAATCAGCATCCAAACTGAACATATTCTCATCCATTTCCAGTAAAACAGCGCTAATAGACATCCCTTGAATAACATCTTAGAGGGCGTAGTGAGGGGGGCATGTGTGCATCGACGAAAATCAATTCAGCAGCCTGAACTAGGAAGACAAAGGCTAAAATAACAGGAGAAAGTAGAGCGTGAAGTTGAGCAAGCAGAAAATAATATAGTTCTGAATCTGTTTTGAACTGCATCTATGTTCCAGTTGTCCATTTTCTTCTAAATCACCTCTCATCTCATCTGCTTTCCACCTTCGTCCCACATCACTTATCTCTGTAGCTGATCAAAGTTTAGCTTTCGACCAGCACAAACTGGTCTGTTTTGTAAACCACAGAATACATCTTTACTGGAGGACACAAATTGCACAGCAAAAATTAAGACTTCATTCCCTTTAAAAATGTTTTAGAAGCAAAAAAGACAAAAAGTTACAGAAAATAGTGAGGAGGTGATAAAACAGAATAAAATGAGAGCCCAAGAAGAAAGAAACAGCCTTAGAAACCAAAGAGCATGCTGAGGTAAATTTGGTGTAGGCTGTGAAGAGTTTGATGGTGATGACAGTGGGCCAGAGACCGGAGGGTTGCCTGTTGCATCCTCCAGGCAGAAAATCCTAAGTAAGCAATTAGTGATGTGTCGGTCGCGAACGAACCGGCTCTAAGAGCCGGCTCTTTGAAGTGAACGACGGGAGCCGGCTCGTCATTGGGAGCCGTCCCCTCCCCTCCCCCCCTCCCCTCTTTCTTTGGTGAAAGCTACAGGCGATTGGTCAACATGTGTAACTGCGTGTCCAGACTGTCCACACACAGAGCAGTAGGGGCGGGAAAGAGGGAGGATCAGACTCAGACACAGCAGAGCACATGCAGGTGGAGGGAGACGAGAGGAAATGAGGAGGAGGAAAAAGGCGAGAGAGAGGAGAGTGCGACGACGACGGTGAGAAAATGAGCCCCAGCAGTCAGAAAGTGGAGATTTCTTAAAGTGTTCAGTTATTAAATCCATAGAAATGACAAATATTTGCATTTTTTTACATTAGTAAATCATTTTACATATAGTTTTGCATTATTTTGGTTATAATTGTACTCTATGCAACAGAAAATCTGAGGAGCCACTTGGGAGCCGAAAGAGACGGCTCTTTTTGGTGAGCTGAGCCAAAAGAACCGGCTCTCTAAAAAGAGCCGTAATTTCCATCACTATAAGCAATAAGTGCTGAGGGGGTTTGTTGGCATTTCAGGGCATTTTGGCTGCCAACTCTAGACCTATTTACTGAGGAACCTGATTTCATTTAAAAATATGCTAAACATTTGCTTTCCGGTGATGGGTGACTGACGGTCCTTATATAGAAAAAGGAACAAATGTGTCAGAGAGCTGATAAACCTATACAAAAAGCATCAGAATTAGGCAAAAAAAAAAACATTGAAATAAGCCTAAAAGTTTGCAAGAGTTCACAAAAGTAGAAGAAATTGAGTTATTTGAAGAGAAGAGATAATTTTGAGGCATTTCTATATTTTAATAAGTGCTGCTGTGGTTTTAAGCCTCTTCTTGCTGTAAAATATGTAAATCTTTCCTTTTTAATGTTATTGAATCCAAGTCCTGATTGATATCCCTGTGATTGGAATTTTCTAATATTTTCTACCTTTTTTTCCCTGTATTTATGTTTTTACTGTACATAATTGTTCCAGCATTACTTTAGGTGAAGGATCACAAGTGCACACATTAGTGAACTTGTCCTGTTCTCTGGACTTTGTTTACGTCTGTTTTACTATACCTCCTCCTTCACTAGAGCTCTGCTCATTCTTTTTCTGAGCTGTGAGGACAAGAGTCCGCTACCCTGCAGGCGTGCACAGATAGGACAAAGGAACTCTGTGCAGGTCCAGTGAGAAGACAGTTAATAATTCAGGTGATGAAAAACTTTTTTTCTTCTTTTTTTTTGTTAATTAAAGAAGTGTTAGTCGACGGTGTGTGCACACATACCTGTGACCAGTGTTTGTGGAGGCTGGAATGCAGCACAGAGGACATTGCCACCATGTTGGACGCCTCCCTTCCACTCAGTGAGTTCAACATCAGACTCTGAGCTGGGCAGTAGGTGGAAAGCTGTTAAAGTACTAAAGAGACAAACACAGAAACAGGAGGTCCTACCGTCCATCACTGTGTCAAATTCATGAACTGAACAGGGAATCTGGGAGTACCGTATACTAAAGTAGTGTTCAAAATTAATCAACATGAATAAAGATCCCACATAAATTTGCTCCAAGACCCTCACAGAAATCCGAGCTTCTTCGCTTATAGCAGCCTGAGCAGATGATAGGTGGGCATCGCCAGAGCCAGCTTGTTTTCCTGAAATGGCTCATTCTGGAAGGCACTGAAAATGTCAAGCTGCAGATATTGCCCTATATGAAAGGGATTTAGTGCAAATAATTCCATAAACATGTTTTGTTTTGATCATAGAACTATTATAACTATAAAAAATTCATAGTATGTTCCCTTTAATATGTACAGATTATTTGCTCTGCTTTGTATTGTCTAAATGTATGGGGAAAATCGTATTTCAGGCTCTGGCCCAGATCTAGTCTGATTCTCCAAACTGAGATAATTCAGAAAGCTGACTACAAAATTTGAAGCAATAATTGTTTACAGACTTTACACATAACCCTGCTTTTGCAATAATTTCTGTGTTAGTACTGCACTCCTGAATGTCAGCAGCAACAGCTGTAGCAGCATTAAGCTGAACACAGATGAACAAACTGCTGTAGCGTTGGTAAAAAGTCAAGATGGAAGTGCAGTTGTAGGCTTAGGGGTACCTTTTCTACTTACAAGTTACCAGTAAACAAGATAATTGATTTCAAAGTGCTTCCACTAGTTTATAAATCACTCATTGACCTGGGGCCAAAATACGCGTTGGACCTCCATACCCAGCAGGGTTCTGAGATCCTTTGGGAACAATCAGCTGGTAGAACTCCGAGTCAGAACAAAACAGGGTGAAGCTGCTTCTAGCTACGATGCTGCACAGATGGAATCAGCTTCCTGATGACCTCAAATGTGCCCCAGCTCAACTGTTAAATTTATTCATCATCCTTTGAATAACTGTTTCTTATGTGGCACCTTCTGCACTGTAACTGCTCCCCCTCTCACTTTATCTTTTTTTTATTCTTAAATCTGAAATTAATTGTGTGTATTTTAGTTGTGCTGCCATGCTGTGCTGATATTCTTGCTAATGGAAAGAACATTGAAGTGCCTCTGTGTGTGACATGTGCTATAAAAATAAAGCTGCCTTGCTGTGCGTTATTTGCAGCAGTAACTAAAGGAAATGTGAAGAGGAAGGAGGAAAAGTACGGCAACAGCAGCAGTACATACAAGGTTTGCATTGTGTTTCATTTGGAGTAAATTTGATGGACAGAAGTTACATTTCTTTGTTGAATCAGTCCAAGTTAGAACCATCATAGGTCCTTTTGTACTGAAATCTAGAACAGTCATGATGGCCAGTAACAAACTCACGATCCTTTATTCAACAGGAAAAAAATGAATATGCAAAACTTTTAATGTTCGCCATCTCAGGACAGATTTCAGCACAAATGCAAATGTTTTCTTTTTGTCATCACAGCACTTTTGCATTTGGCTGTTGTGTAAATACACAAAATCAAACAATGATGTGCTGCGTGGCTTCCAGCCGTCCGTCAGCGGGATGTGGATATTTCAACCTGTGTGAGATTGCTTGGACAGCTAAGGAAAACGGGACTTTGAGTCAGCTGCCGTGTGACACATGGCCGTGTGTCTTAAACTGAGAGATGTGTTTATGTGAAAAAGCAGTAGATGATGTGAGTGATGAAAGTCATGATGACACTACTTCCTTTTACTGCTGCTGTTCTGTCGCCTTGGTTTTTTGTACCCAATGTCATCTGTGTGTGTGTGTGTGTGTGTGTGTGTGTGTGTGTGTGTGTGTGTGTGTGTGTGTGTGTGTGTGTGTGTGTGTGTGTGTGTGTGTGTGTGTGTTACTCATGAGGTAGGGACCTAAATCGGGCCTTCCTTTGAACTACAATAAAAAAAAACGTTAAACCTGGGTTACAGTTAGAAACAGTTAAGGATTGAGGAAGGTGTGTGTGTGTGTGTGTGTGTGTGTGTGTGTGTGTGTGTGTGTGTGTGTGTGTGTGTGTGTGTGTGTGTGTGTGTGTGTGTGTGTGTGTGTGTGTGTGTGTGTGTGTGTGTGTGTGTGTGCGTGAGAGAGAGAGAGAGAGAGAGAGAGAGAGAGGGGAAGTTGTATAACTTGATGACAGCATGCCGCTGAGCTCGGTTCACTGTGTGAAATGATGATGATAATGAAGAGCAGATGTGATGTGGTTACACAAAGGAGATGCACACACATTTGCACAAATCTGAGGTGGTGACGGTAAAGCGAATGTGAGCGCCCCGGAGCGTTCTGACTTGTTAGGGTCCAGATGTCTGGTTGGCTCTGAGTTGTTGGCAGGCAGACACAGCAGGAAAGGACAGACAGAAGCACACACACACACACACACACACACACACACACACTTCTCCATTTCTATCTATGTGAGGACAACCTTTGATTTTTAAAAAGCATCTCATTTTACCCACAAACTTACCAAAGAATTAGTTTAAATTGGATCCTAAACAACATCAAACATTGAGATAAACCGAAATTTTCATGCATAAAATTTAGGCAAATTTCTGCATATGTAACATTTCAGTGTTCTCTATAACATTAATGAGCAACTGAAATTCCCAGCTCATACCTTTTCCAGCCCATCACCAGTACTCTACTCCTCAGCAACAGGACCTGTGAGATGGATGCAGCTCCACCCATTCCAGCATTCATCCTGAGAAGGCAGTGACCGTTGAAGTCCCACACCTGAACAACACACACACTGATGACCAACAGCCATTTATTCTATTAACTCATTTGATGTTTCTTCTTATCTGGGTCATAAGTGCAGCAGTCCTAGCAGGGACGTGCAGCTTTTCCTCATCTACCAGCTTCTTCAGTGGGGTCCCAATGTGTTTTCAACCTATTAAAGTCTGTTCCCTTTCAGTCGATTCACTCTGTACGATGGTGGCCTGGCTGAAGACCACCTTTTCGGTGGCCTGGCTGAAGAGACATCTAATCACACCTGAAAAGGCAGATGAGCATGACACCAGGTGGTGGTGGCCCCGCCTACCACTTATATTGCCTCATTTGACAGTTCTTACCCTCTTCATCATGCCTAAAACTAGCTGCGCTGTTGAAAAATAGCTAAACCGCTCACTGGCTTGACTAACTACCAGAGGTGTGGACTCGAGTCACATGACTTGGACTCGAGTCAGACTTGAGTCATTATATTAATGACTTCTGACTTCACTTGATAAAATCTATAAAGACTTATGACTTGACTCAGACTTGAACGCCAATGACTTGCAACTTGAATCGACTTACATCTGTTGAATTGATGATGACTTAAGCATATTTGACATTTTAGCACAAAAGTGGCACGACGTGGACAACAGTCCTAAATCATTCTGGGTGTGATCTTGTACTACTAAATGCAGCAGCACTTTGTTTATAATCAATTTTGGTTGCACTTTCTGCTTGTTTGAGCAAACAAATGAAGCTTTAAGAAGCTTTAATTGTGGAAATTATCTATTATCATTGTCATTAAATTGAAGTTTGACAGATGACTTGAATATGACTTCAAAATTCAAAGTTACAGACTTGGACTTCCACAACATTGACTTTGGACTCGACTTGGACTTGGTTGTCTTTGGCTTGGACTTGACTCAAAACTTGACTGAAAAGACTTGTGACTTACTAAGCAGTGACTTGGTCACACCTCTGCTAACTACTGCCTTCTGGCTAGTGTTTTTGCCCACCGAGCGCCATCTTTCATGGTTCTTCAGCTTCTTTGCCTTCTTGCTGTCAGGTGTGCTGCTCCGCTGTGTGTCTCGCCATGAGCACCGTGTTAGACGCCACTTCACAGACACACGCTTCATGTCCCTGTCCTCAGGGCTGTGGATTTTCTCTTCACAAGAAGGACCTACACGAGGCATGCCCGGTTTGTTTAGGAATTATCCATGCCAGGAGAGCTCTTGTGGACACAGAGGCGTGCGAGTTTTGTCGCTAGTTCCACGCTCGAATGCCATGTGAAGTTTCTACAAGGAGGCTTGAAGTAGACTGACCCGCTCCTCCACCTGCACAAAAGAGGTCCTATTTTACCGGGTTTTACCTCCCCTCGGAACCAGAAGAGGTTAGGAACCTTCTGCCGCTGTACCTGGATTTTGTGGCTGAGCTCACGGCATGCTGGGCTAAGCCACCATCCACCTGTACCACGGTCCTGGGTTACGGTCAGTTCTCGGACCTTGATGGTGTCGAGAAGGCAGGATTGGTTAACCTCCCTCCGATGGAACCCTCTCTTGTAGCTAATCTGGCCCCAACTTGCAATAATGGAATAAGTGGACAAACTAATCTACCCTCCAAGCCATGCCGCTTCTCAGCTCCTCAACTTGAGAAGATTTACCGCGCTTAGGCCTTTTCCGCCCGCGTCTTCAGCTCTTCCCCCATGCTTCAAAACTACCAATCGCTGTCATGTTCTGTGCCCCTGAGGTCCCCAGCCCCTTACAGGTTTCCCCCATGTTCCCCCAGTTACTACAACTTCATATTTAATTGTTCCATCTCATTTATTGATTGTCTCCCCAGTATTAGATTCCCTCTTCTTTGGTTCTTGTTCATTTAGTTTCCCCAGTTAAAGATCTAGTGCCTCTAGTTTTAGGTTTATTAGTTCACTTATTTTTAGTCTTCTGTATGTTTAGATTAAGTTAGTATCTCATTTAAAATATTGTGTTTCTGCCCCACATAGTCCCTCCTGCCTCCTGTCAGCCCACACTCCCCTCATACCTGGATCCTGTTTCCCTGATTCACTGCCCTCTGTGTATTTAGGCCCCGGGCTTGTCTTCTGTGGTTGTTGGTTCATTGTCGTTCATCGGCGTTGGTTGTTGCCCCCTGTGCTCCTGAAGTTTTTGAGTTTGTTTCTTGTGCCCCTTCTGGATTTTGCAGTGTAATGAAGTCAATAAGAGGGTAAACTGGATTAAATAAATTGCTTCAGAGCTACAGTGATCCCTCGCTACTTCGCGGTTTGTTTATCACGGATTCACAACTTCGCAGATTTTTTCTTTGGAGCTGTATTCAAGGGAAATTCGCCGATTAGCGGTATTTTTCACAGATTCGCGGTATTTTTCTATGCAAAATATCAAGAAATTCCTGTTTTTCTTCATCAATTTCATCATAAAATGCACTTTTTGTAATAAAACTATAAAAAAAACAAGTAAAAATGTTTTCTATGTAAAGGGAGGGTTTTAAAAGTCTGAATACTGAATACGTACCTGTTAAATAAATACTGTAAATATGGTGTCCCTACTTCGCGGATTTTCACCTATCACGGCCAGGTCTGGAACGCATCTACCGCGATAAACGAGGGATCACTGTATTTATTTTTATTGTCATTACTTGTGACCCATAGCTGTGATAACCTATTTGTGGGGTATTTTTATAATTGTACCTTTTTGAGGCCTAAAAGATGCCCAATTTGTGTTATTAACACTTCATGAATCTCTGTGTTTGCCAACTGTGGCTGTTCATGAAAGGTTGAGCAGAGAAGCTCGTTTGCAGTCAAGGATGTTGATTCCAACCAAACCTCTGTAAGGATGTTGATTCCAACCAAACCTCTGTACCTCTGTAACCTGAGAAGGCCCCGCCTTCTCCATCCTTTGCTAAATAAAACCCCTGGCAAACTGAGAACACATTGGGAGTGACGTGGGAAAAGCCTCGGAGGAGGTTTTTCCCTGCGTTAACTCTCCTTTATTTTGGGGACTCAGGGTAAAATGTCATCCTTGTTGTCAAGAGTGTTTATTTCAGGTTCCAGGGTTATGGAGATTAAATATTTCCCACGTTCAATTACCTAACATTTTGGTGGAGAATGCAGGTAGGCAGAGCTGGTGAGCTGAAGGCTGGAGCAGAGTGGGGGCTGGGTTTCCGCCCAGCTCTTCCGATGACGATTCATGGACATTACGGATAATAATAATCTTCTCTCTCTGTGTGTGTGTCATCCTTTAAGGTAATATGGGATGAATGAAAAATTACCTATCACTATTAATTATAGAATATCACCTGCTTGGTCTTTAAGATGATTAGGCAGAAGATTCTAAGACTCTTTGTTTATTCAGGGACTGTCATCATTTCGTTTAGGATTCAAGAACCATTCAGGTTTGCAAACAAATAATAATTTATTTTACAATTAAAGTAAACATACTTAGTATCATTGAAAAAGATTAATGAAACATTTCATCATTTATAATTATACATGGCAATATTTAGTGATTATTAATTAAAAGGCCTTAGTTATATGATCTTCTTTTCTTCAATGATTATTTTGAATTATAAAATGGTTACTTTAGTTATGAAATCTTCTTTTCTTCTGGGAATAAAAGTTTATCTAACAGAGCTCTGTGCAGAACCTTGGGGAAAAGAATGCTACTGTCATCTTTCATTATCTGATGAATCTTCAGTTCAGCTGATGAAGTCATCTGATTAAAGAGCCTGCATGCAGACATTCCATCTCCTGTCAGGGTAAAATACAGCAGAACGTGTGTAGCCAGGGTTATTTGCTCTGGCCGTGCATATGAACTGTGGGATCTCAAAATCAGTCCATTTGGTGACGTTACAGCTGCTATTAAAGGGACTTTACGGAGTTTTGAATTTTTATGCTCGCGATTTCCCTCTCAGGCCAAAAGCATAACGGCAGCTTCAATAGGAGTCTTGTGCACGAGGCGCGCATGCTGTATGTGCACACTCCTTAACAAAAATAACAGCTGAGACAGTCCCTTGTGTGTGTGTGTGTGTGTGTGTGTGTGTGTGTGTGTGTGTGTGTGTGTGTGTGTGTGTGTGTGTGTGTGTGTGTGTGTGTGTGTGTGTGTGTGTGTGTGTGTGTGTGTGTGTGTGTGTGTGTGGCCTGGAGGACAGAGGACAGGAGAACGCGCAGCTAATTAATTAAATAATTTGGTTCTGTACCTTTCTCTTCAGCACAGCCGACAAAGGTTTATGATGGGTCAGTCCTCCTGCATGCTCAGATAATTCCCTTCCCTTGCTTGTAAAATTGTTCCAAAATGAAAGTTGAACCCACATATTTTTTACCTGTGAATTAAATGCCGTTTGGCGAGTCTCATATAAAATTTGGGCATCTTACTGTAAAAATATATATCATTAATGTAAAAATGAAACTCTAAAACAATTATGTTCACATACAGAATCGAACCCAGGTCTTCAGCATGATTCCTGAAGTCTTACTAGACAAGCTAAACCACCAGTGATGTCTCCTGTATCTGTAACGTTTATATTCTTGATGACAGCTGAAACAACGTTCAAAGAACGGTTCGGAGGGCTATGCCTGAGCATGAACGCGCATGAAGCAGCCTGCTCGACCCGAGCAGCTCTCTTTTTCTGTGATTTTACAGAAAAACAGGCAATCACAGAAAAAATGCCAGGGCTCATTCTACAGGACCAGGGCATTGCAGGAGAATGTATTAAGAACAAATGTATTATTTCTATACATGTTTTGGCTGTCAAACTTCCATAACGCCCCTTTAAGACAAAGTTCGTGGCCCAGCAGAAACAGACTGAAGCACTATGCTCCATCATCCCCAAGCAAGAGGGGAGGCACACAGTGCCTGGGTCTGACAGAATCTCCTCTCTTCCACCTCAGAGAACAGCCTCGCCAGCAGCAGCAATGGGCTTGGATCCAGCTCGGACCCTGTCTTTCCCTCCTCAACAATCCGCATGGGGTAAAGGCCCTCCTGGGGGCTCGAAAAAATGCTCTGTGAGCTGTA